TAAATTCTGATATTTAAAACATCACTAGGATATTCAAACCTTAAGAGACAGTCTATGAGTTAACCAAAATCAAAACAACAAAAATCGTCTGGCCTATTCTCCCACCCCTTTCCAAATTATAAAAGATCATCAATTTTATGCTCTTGGTTTTGCTGGATATTAAAAGTCGCAAAAGCATTCTCCAAAGGATACATTGTTTAAATGTAAAACAAGTATTCTACCAAAAAATGAAGCTTACCATGTCAGTTAACAACTATACAGCAGACAATTCTTTCACAGTACAATATTAAAGTCATGAATGTTAAGGGGTCTTTCCAAAATGGAAGAAAAAAAGGTTATAGTCCTGCATTTTCAGAATTATAATATTTGGCAGATTCAAACATGAAAACAAACAAGACTTTTGATAGACTCTTAAATACATACTACTTACATGACACCTTGTAGAACTTTCTGGGGATCAGGGTCAAATAGCCTGTCAACATAGTGGCGACTGCTAGCTGTTACTTCCTAGAAAGTGGGGGGAAAAATTATAACATCTGAAGCCATGCAAATAACAAATTCACAGCATCACCCACAACATCAAATAGCTATATAATCTAACTTAAGGTAGATGCATTTGAAATTCTATAAAATACTTATATTAAATCATTCTGAGAAAAGCTTGTGACATAAGATGACATAAGTAATAAGACGGGGAAGAAAGAAGATACCTGGTTCTCACTAAAAACCCAACTAGACAATAGAACCTTTGTGGTGAACCCTGCAAGCTTTGCCAACAGAGGATCTGGGCATAAGTGTTAAGAAGTAGCTAAGTTAATTAGTGTTGGAGGTCACCTACATACAAATAAGAGATAGGAATGTTGCTTCTGTTTAGTACCCACTGAAGGCAGAGAAAGTCTGGCTGTCAGCAAGTGAGAAGGATAAGGACTTTAAGAACCATCTATGAGGGGCAGTTTATGTGCAAGAGGAAGACCCTCCGACGGATGCAGAGTAGCTGCACTGCTGGGAGGCAGACATATATAAAAAAGAAAAACTAAAATAAAGAGTTGCCACCCTTTCTGTGAGGGAAAAACAATGAAGAATTAGAGTGATTTTTCAGGTCCAAAACAGTTACCTAGTCTGAACCGGCTAAGGCTGGATAGAAGAGGGAGAGTTAGAGCATAATGGGTTAAGAGGAGACACTTACCTCCTTTTATTTGTATACTGGAGCTTGCTTTATTATCTTGTTTCTTGTAATACTTATTTTGGGGAGGCGATCGTGATTTTTTATATTTAATTTTCAATACTTAACATTATTTACACATATAAACATATAAACACAGAACATCCGTTTAAGTAGCCAGAGAAAAAGCATTTTTGTCCCTTGCTGTTTCTTTCTAATGCCTGCTGGAATACACTCATGGACAGCTACCCATTCGCAATAAATTATTATAGAGAAGAGGAAATACTCTTCCAGTTTACCCAGAACCCCTAATGGGAAAAGAGTTAATTGCCAAGACACAGTGCCAACTTAGGCTTCTGAGTCATGAAAAATAACTCTGAAGAAAAGCTACATAAATTCTAATTTCTGACAATACAATTAATCCAAAAACCTAAGCATATTTTCATAGCATAAACTTGCTACCAAAATACCCTCATACGCAACTCAAATACCCACACTTAGTATTTACTCCATTTATAAAGAACAAACAGTGGCAGCAAAAGCATAACTAATGAAAATTCTTATACCCATGAGGGTACTATTTAAGTACCTGCTAACAGGGTCTGGTTTCCTCAAAATAAAAGAATCACAGAGTTAGGACTCGATAATGATCTGTCCCAATCCCTTGGTGAACAAATGAGGGATGATCTTCACCCAGATGTCAGATTGTCAAATGTTAAGTAGGGATGTAAACAACTGTACAGATACATCAAGAAATAATATATCAAGAGCAAAATCCAGGGTAAAACTGAACGCAGCAGTCCTGTAATAAAAACAGGTGAGTTCTGTCAGTTCACTTGAGCATATGCGCTTTCCTGGCTTCCCAATGTGCTGAGTTCTTCTGAGCATCTGAACCTTGGCCTCCCTCCTATTTAGGGACTAATCTTGGATTTCACTGCTCCTCTCCACACTCTCCAACAGCTTCTACATCTCTTGCCTCTCAATGTGTTTTAAAAAAAGGTATTTGGTTTTAAGACCTGTATCTTAAACAACATAAATTTCACCCATTAGTAGCAGCTTTCTTTACTGTTCTATGCCAGGTTCATTCAATTTAACAAGCATTGAGTACCTACTGTATGTAAGGCACTGGGGAAGTCATTAAAGATTTAATGCCAGTCTCTGCCCTCAATAACGCATATTCTATTGTAATTGTGTTTACATATTTATATTCCCTACTTGAATACAAAACAGAAGTATACACATATAAAGGCACACTGAGAAGGGAGTTAATAAACCAGGAGAATCAGTGAAAGCTTCTTAGGAGTTGGTTTTGGAAAATGAGTAAGAATGCACAAGAATAGACAAGGAAAGAAACAGAGAATCAGTGTCATTGATCACTGCCATAGGGCATGTGCAGCCAGCGCCCATCTGCGAGTATACCAGTAGCTGGCACTGAAAAAGGAGGGAGGGTAGAGAGGTGACAACAGAATGTAAAACACAAAAGGCTAACCAACAGGTAATTGGAGAGTTCAGATCGCCTTTTGGTTCAAGTTCTATGCTAGGTGTCAAAGAAGGTAGAAGAGAATGTTAAGTCAGAGCCTTGCACTGAAGGAGCTTCCAATCTAATAAGGTCAGTCATGTACACAAAAAAATAATCCTCCGACCTGCCTAGGCATGAGCAAGCTGAGGCGACATAGCCACTTATTCAATCTTATTTTACTTTGTGCTTTTTCCTAACATATTCATTTGTCTGTCCATATGGGACAATTCGTATTGCACTGCTTTCCTTTGTAGATCAGGTCACCTCTTTCTCAGCCCTCGTTTCTTTCAAAAGGCAGCCTAGAAATGTAAGAACTTGAGAGAGAAGGCAGTTGGTGCAGATATTAAATAGGTTGGTCAGGGAAAGCTTCTCTAAGAACGTAACATTTGAACAAATACCTGAAGAAGGTGAAGGAGTTAAGTCATGCAGCTATCTGGGTACAAAGCTTTTCAGGCAAAGAGAACAGCCAATGCAAAGGCTCTGAAATGGGAAGTGTCCGTTGTGATCAAAGAACAGGCCATTGCATAGCTGGAGCAGAATGAGCAAAGGAGAACGCAGTAGGAGACGCGGTCAGAGAAGAATGGCCAGATGGTGAGAAGCTGTGTGGGCCAATATGACAGCCACTGGCCTCAGATGGCTACTGGGCATCTTGAAATATGGCTAGAAACGGAATTTAAAACATTTTTAACTTTAATTAAAATATAAATTTAAAAACCAACACTGGATTCAGTTATTAGAAAACTCTTAAGAGTGTTTAGAACTACATGGGTGTGTAAATCTACTTTTTCTACTCTAAATTTTATGAAACCTAAATACCAAACAAGTATCTCCAATCAAAATTTGGTAACCAAATTGTGTAAAAGACACATCAGATTTTGAAGATTTTATATATAAAAAAAATAATTTCATTAGTAATTACTTACATCGATTATATGTTGAAATAATACTTTGATATCAGTTTAAATAAGGTATTAAAATCAATTTCATGTTTTCTTTTTACTTTTATAGCATGGCTGCTAGAAAATTTAAAATTACATATGTGGCTTGCACTGTTTTTCCACTGCACAGCACTGGTATACAGCCTTGGTCACTGTAAGAATTTTGATTTTTATGGTGCGAGGTGGAAAAACAGAGATATGATCTGACTTGTTTGAAAAGGATCACTCTAGCTGCCATTTTAGGAACAAATGTATGTAGAGGGGCTAGAGGCCAAAAGCAGGGATACTATGTAGGGGCTATTTCAATAATCAGAAATACTGTTATTTCAGATTGAAGACGATGGTAGCCTGGACTAGGCAAGAGTTCTGGGGTAGTAAGATTCACTCAGATTCCGGATAAATGTTGAAGTTGAGATGGCTGCCAAACTGGATATGCTGTCAGACTAGATGTAGGGTGTGAAAAAAGAGAGGAGCCGAGGATAACACTTAAGGTTTCTTCTGCCTGAGCAGCTAGAAAGATTGAGTTGCTGGTTAATGACATGAGAAAGGTTGTGGGCGATGCAGGTTTGAGTGAGAAGATCAAAAGTTCAGTTTGGGACATGTTAAGATTGAGAACTTGATTAGACATTCAATTGAGAACGTCAAGTTGGCAGTTGGATATATAAGTCTAGAGCTTGGAAAGGAGTTGTGGGGCACAGGAACAAATCAGGGAGCTGTTTAAAGCAAGGCCTGAAGACTGAACTCTGGAACACTCGAACAAGCAGTCAGGGTGGTGGAAAGAAACCCAAGAAGCCAAATGAGAGAACGTTTCAAGGAGGGGGTGATCACATATGCTAAATCTACTACTGTGTAGCAGGAGGTGATGACCAAGACCTGACCACTGAATTGAGGAATGTGGAGGCCGTTGGTGGTAATCTTGACAATAGCAGTATAGGCAGAGTGGTGCGGCCAAAGCCTGCTCAGAAGTGGTTTAAGAGAGAATGGGAAAAGAGGAATTAGAAAAAGTAAATATAGACAGCTCTTTCAAGAGCTTTCATTGTAAAGGGGAGTGAGGGCATGGAATAGTAGCTCGAGGGAGAAGTTGCGTCAGGAGAGCTTTTTTTACAAAAGATCGAATAAATTAGAGCATGCTTAATCATTGATGGAAACTTTTTTAATAGAGAAGAAAAACTGATGTTGCATTGGGGCAGGGGGAGAACTTTCAGGATAATGGTCACAAATAATTGAGGGGGAATGGGATTTACTGACCAAGTAGAGCATGGAAGAAAGTACAATAATCAGAGGGAATTAATTAGGTGGATATGCTAGTGAGAGCTTTGTAGACATTCTCTCTAATTACTTCTATTTTTTGAGATGAAAAATGGCAGGGATGGAGGTGCGGAGTGGGAAGGTTGGCAGTTTGAAGAATGAGGAGAAGGAATAAGACACTGAATGGGCCAGGAAAAGGTACCAGGACTGCCAGGCAGCACTAACCCTCTTGAGGTTGATAACTATGAATCTAAAGTGAGACCAAGTCAGCATGGCTTTCTTCCAGGTACATTAAAATGTACAGAAAATGCACACGAAAAAGAGAGCTAAATTTAATGGGGGTTGGAATTTCACCAGACAAAGCGAGAGGAAAGGGGTCAGCTCAGTTGAGGATGTATGCAAGGTTGTGATTATGATGGGCCTATTGAAGGCCAATAAAAGTTGTAGAATTATATACTATAGGGAACAGAGGGATTGAAGGATTATTGGCACTGGGGTTGAAGGAGGCATGCTTTGAGAGGACAGAATGTGGTGGCCAGGATGTTTGAAATTGAGATTATGGAGGGATTTTAATTATTAGTAAGGTCAAGATCTAGGAAATGACTATGAAGAAGTGCCTAAAGGCAGGACAGGGAATATG